CTCTCTCTCTCTCTCTCACACACACACACACACACACACACACACACACACACACACACACACACACACACACACACACACACACACACACAGTGGGCTCCCCTTGTCTGTCTGTCTCGCTCCCTCTTTGTTTGTTCGTGTGTGTGTGTGTGTGTGTGTGCACCTGCGTATGCCTATGCACTGTCTTCCCCAGAGGGCCAGTATCAGCACTGTGGTTGGATTTATGGTTGGGCTTTACGAGGTGAATGCAGAGGAAATTGAAGCAAAATTTGGAGTCCTTGTGTGGAGGTATTAGCGGTTGGAGATTTGCAGACATGCAACTAGACCATGTCATGAGTCGGAGGAAGAATTCCAGCACGGAGCTACGTGGTGGTCTGTCGGCAAATAATAATGCTGACTGTGATAATGTGCAATATCTGTGCTGTCACTTTCCTTCACAAAGGTGGAGATAAAGGAAAACCAAATCTGCCCTGCAAGATCTGGGTAATGATAGAATCTGTGCTGCAGCAGCTTTTATATAGTTAATTGTATGGCAAGGCGGTATGAGACTACTGGTTGTATTAGTAGTAGTTCATATATTATATTATTGACGAGTACCGTATACTAGAAGTATGACTTTTACGAAAATAAATAAAGACACTAGAAGTAAATGAAAAAGGTTCACAACTTCACGTAGTACCTGGGTCAGTCCCATTTTCCCCACTGAAAGCATATTCCCATCTGGTAGGCCGTAGTGCAGGTTCAGGCTGTGCCAGCAGTCAGCGTCACTAAAGGTCCGTACAAGCCGTAGGTCTAGGAATTCTAGCAGTCTGTCTCTCTATCTTTCAGTCTGTCAGTCCGTCTGTCAGTCACAGCTCAGTGCAGAAGTCTGCAAGCAGCGGGCTGAAACATCGGTTTTCACAATCTGGGCTGCAACAACCAGACGTCAACACCATTGGCATTCACGCCTGATGCGGAAGCGCTGTTGTGGTTTTCTGCATCACATTAGCAGTAGTCAATGGCGTCCGGCACCAGAGCTTAACTTGAGTGTGAGAGAGAGAGGAAGAGAGTGAGCAAGCGGAAGACATTCACACACACACACACACTGTGGCATACTGCGTAGCCACACGGGCCCTACAGGGCCTGTCCCGGACATTCAGCCTAAAAGCCTAAAACTTAGGGCTTACAGGCCCTGTTCATTTCAGCCTGCATGCTGAAAAACGAGGGCCTGCAGGCCCTACCTCGTTTCAGCCTATTTCTGGGTCTTTTCAGACCCAGAGTTTTCAGCCTGAAACGGAGGGCCATTTTCAGGCCCTCATTGTTTCGACCTGCTCCTAAGACTCAGGCACGGAAACAGGGATGCGGAACAGGCCCAAAATAGCCTGTTCCTCACGCACTCGAGCTGGAGCTGCAGCTGCAGCCCCTGCCTCCCTTCGGCAGGCTCAAGAGGCACACCCGTAGTACATAGGAGGTTCCCATGCACTTCACGGGGAAGGTAGTGTCAGTAGGCCAAGGTAGTCTTCAGGATTCGGTCGCAGCACTCAGGAGGAGCGCTGCAGTAGCGCTAGGCAGTAGTGGTAGCGCTAGCTGTAGTCTTCGGCGCTGGGCGCCATAGCTGTAGCTGTAGTCTTCAGCGCTGGGCGCTGGTAGGTAGTAGATCGTAGAGTGGAGAG